AAGCTGGACAGTGAATAAGGAGGATCGTAGAAGAATTGATGCCTTTGAGTTGTGGTGTTGGAGGAGAGTACTGAAAGTGCCATGGACTGCCAAAAGAACCAATAAATCTGTTTTGGAAGTGCAGCCAGAGTGCTCCTTAGAGGCCAGGATGGCTAAACTTCATCTCTCCTACTTTGGACATATTGTCCAGAGGAAACAATCGCTGGAGAAGGATGTCATGCTGGGTAGGGTGGAAGGTCAGAGAAAAAGAGGAAGACCCCCAACGAGATGGATCAGCCAGGTGGCATCATTGATGGACTCAGGTGGGGCAGCGGTGGTGAGGTTGGCTCAGGATCGAACATTGTTTCATTCTGCTGTGCATAGGGTCGCTATGAGTCGGTCCCGACTCGATGGCACCTGACAACAACAACAACTTCTTTGAGGCTACTTTATAGTCTATTAACTTTTCTCTCCATTTAAGACAATGAGTTGTTTCCTGTAATATCCCTGACCTCCTCACCAGCTGGATCTCTGTTCCTACATTTTTCCCTTTTTGACATTAATATTATTTTGATCTTTGGTTGACGTTCCAGCTCCTTTGAATTCGTTGTTGTAGGTTTTTCTGCTCTGGCGTCTGCTATCCATCGTCTGAGTTTCAGGTGGTGTTGTCACCCCTGTCAGTATCTGGTTGTTGTCTGATCTTGTTGGTTTTCAGTCCAAAGAATTCCCTTTAAAATGTTTTAAAGTACTGGATTGGCTTTGACAAAAACTCTTATATTCTGTTTATCCTGGAATGCTTTGATTGCACCATCATATTTGATCATATTTTCTGGATAGATGATTCTTGGTTGGCAGTTTTTTTCTTTTAGGGTTTTGTATATGTCTCCCCATTGCCTTCTTGCCTGCATGGTTTCTGCTGAGAAGTCAGAGCTTAAACTGATTTGCTTGCCTTTGTAAGTAGTAGTTGTCTTTTCCCTGGCTGCCTTTAGGGTTCTCTCCTTGTCTTTGATTTTGGAGAGCTTTATTCTGATATGTCTTGGTGATTTTCTTTTGGTGTCTATGCTTCCTGGAGCATATTCGGCTTCTTGAATGTTTATCTTTTCATCCTTCAAGATGTTAGGGAAATTTTCTTCCAGATGCTCTTCATCTATCTCATCTGTGGACTTCTGTGATTCTTCCTGTTCCAGAATGCCAATAATTCTTAAGTTGTTCCTCTTCATGTTATCCAGCATGAATGTTAGACTCTCTTCAGATTTTTTTATCCTCTTTTTTGCTTGCTTTTCTATCTTAGCAGTATTGAGAGATTTGTCTTCCAGATTGCTGGTTCTGGTTTCCATCTCTTCAGTTCAGCGCCTTCCCCCTTTCAGTGTAGTGTCCATTTCTGATACTTTATTATTAATCATTTGGACCTCTTTTTTGCAGGTTTTTCAATTGTTTCCAATGCTGTATTGATCCTGTTTGATTGCTCTTGTAGTACTTTCCCGACTTCGTCCTTGTTTTCCTCCACCCCTTTTCAGAGCGTTTGAAATTATTTCCATATCATTCTTCTGAATTCCTTCTCAGGCAAATCCAAAACCTGCTATTCCTCTTCTGGAGAGCCTTTGTTTGTCTCCAGATCATTTGTCTCAGTTACTCTTTTCTGTATTTGGTCATGTTTTGAGATCTTTTGTTGTGTTTTCTTGTTTTCAGTAGTTAGGTGGGGTTTTAATTCCTGCACTTATAAGCAGTGTAAATGATCAAGTTGTGTGCTTCCATAGCCAATGCCATAAACATCGGCTGTGCCTTTGGCTCAGAAGTTGGAGCCCTGGCACCACAGTGGTTATGAATTGGGCAGCTAACCTCAAGATCAGGAATTTGAAATTACCAGCTGTTCTTCGGTAGAAAAACGAGGCATTGTGCTCCCATAAAGATTGTTGTTGTTGTTGTTGTTAAGTGCCATCGAGTCGGTTCCAACCCATAGCGACCCTGTACAGGGATTCTGAGGTTGTAAATCTTTACAGGAGTAGAAAGCCTCAGCTTTCTCCCATGGAGCGGCTGGTAGTTTAACCCTGTACAGCGTTGTTTTGAGTTGCAACTGACTCCACGGCACACCACCACCACCCACCACCACCACGGATATTTAAAAAGTCAGAGAAGTATGAGCTGAGTCACAGGAAACTCATGACTCTATTATCTAACCAAGCCCTGGAGTGGAAGTACTTCAGGCTGTTGACTACAGTGAGAACTGTTGGCTCTATGGACCACTGCACTGTTAGACGATGGTGCTTCTGTTAAAATGGGATCAACATTGCCTGTTTCTAAGGTCAAAGTAAGCAGAGACTTATTTGTGCTTATTTACTAATCTGTAGTGAACCATTTCACCTGGGTTTCGCATAAGCCTTTGCTTACCTTGCTTACTGGGTACTCAGGGATTGTAAATTTGAAAACAGACTTTGATTTTGTGGGAATGTGCTGCTGGATAGGGAGACAGATGCCAGAAGAGTCTTTTGATGAAGTGAAAAATGTCAAATTGTTTACTACAATGTAGTAAGTAAGCACAAGTAAGCCCATGCTTCCCTTGCTTATTGTTTAATAGGACACTGCCCATTTCCTAGCTCCTGTCACTCTAATCAACACTGCTCCAAACCTTTAGGATAATTTGTCTCAAACACTTCTTTTTTGTAATTTAAAGCAACAAAATTTATTATTGTAGTTACTGTGGTTAGGAATTCAGGAATGGCTTAGCTGAAGGGTTCAGGTGCAGCTTCTTGAGAGCCTGCAGTTACTTGAAGGCTTGGCTAGGCACGTGCTTTTTTGCATCATGCAACTATAAATGGCATCCTATTGACAAAACCAGTTACCATGGAGTCATGGGCTCCCTATGTGCATCAGAGTAGAACTGTGCTCTGTAGCATTTTCTATAGCTGAGATTTGAGAAGTAGACTCCAAGCCTTTCTTCTTTTCTTGGTGGACTCAAACTGCCAAGCTTTCAGTTAGCAGTAGAGTGTGTGTTGATTGATTTCACCACTTAAGGACTCCTACTGCCTGCTTCAATCTCAAATCTCAACTTGGTTTCATTCTACCTTTCTGAGTCAGTCCCTTGGCCTAACCTCTTCAACATCTACCTGTTCCATTGACCAGGTCAGCTTGTTGCTCCACAAGTGTTCATGGTTTGAATTGAGTTTCTGCTTCCTATGCTTTAGTCTTCACTTCCCAATGTGGTTGTAAGCTCTTTGAGAGAAAGGATCTATATCTTTTAAAATCTATTTCTCTTTTCTTCAGGACTTAATGTGAGGCATATGACAATCAATCAAAGCCAGTCAACCTGATTCAGTTAATAGTTTACCCTGAACTATACCAAGAACAGCACCAGCCACAATTAGATACCTAATAAGGATTTTGTTTTGAGCTATTGGTAATCTCAGAATTGGAATTTATTTTGGTGTGTTTTTTTTTTTAATGTCAGTTTTGATGATCATAGTCTCATGAAAACCTGATGTAATGGAGTTCAAATGGAAAGGGTAAATTTGAATGCCAAACTCACTGTGTGACCTTGGGTAGGAGTCTTTATTTAAAGCACAGATAAAAATGTGACTATTTCTTCATTGCAAAAGAAAGATGAGCATGGGGACCTCTGAGTGGTGTGAGGATTCCATTATGCAAGCACACACATTGATTTTTTTCTAGCATAATAAATGATTGAAAGACATTAGGTACATGTTTTTATTACAGAAGCTTTGTATACTCTATTATTTTTTATTCTATTGGGGTTTCTCTTTTCCTTGTCCCCAGATCAGAAACACCATTTCTGATTTTCATTGTTTTGTTTAACCTCTTTTGAGATGATAGTTAGGATCTGGTAGACAGCATATGAACAAAGAAGCTTTTTTTTTTTTTCTTTTTGAATTATAAAAAGCTACCTGGATTATAAAAAGCAATAATAAATAAGACAAATTACTCATAGTTTGGTCCGATAATGCAGACCAAACGGGAAGAAGAGAAAGCTCAAAAAGAGTGTTTATGTTGCTGGTAGAAATATGGCTCACTAAGCCTCGAATTCCTGGTGTGGTGCTGTGGAATAAGCACTGAATTGCTAACCTGAAGGGTGATGGTTGAAAGTGACTCGATGTCACATTACAAAAACAGATCTTGATTTAAGGAACCTCTGTGGTTAAAGTGCTTGGCTACTAATTAAAAGATATGGGAGAAAGGGACAATTGTGCAATCTCTTATAAGGGACAATTGTACAATGTCCTATAAAATCACTTTCATTTGGAATTGAGTTGATGCATTAGTTTCTATTTTCTTTTTTTTAACTGTGATTTAGAAGGTCCCTAGATAACACAAATTGTTTGATCTTCTGCTAACCTAAAGGTTGATAGTTTGAACTCTCTAAGTGGCACTGTGGGAGAAAGTCCTGGTGATCGCATTGGTAATATTCTAGCCAAGAAAGTCTATGGAGCAACCCTACTTTCTAACACGAAGCGGTTATGAATCGAGTTGCTAACCTCAGGGTCAGCAGTTCGAAACTACCAGCTTGTTCCGTAGGAGAAAGATGAGGCTTTCTGCTCCCGTAAAGATTTATAGCCTCGGAAACCCTGTACAGGGTCTCTATGCATCGGAACTGACTCCACAGCACACAACAACAACACTTTGTAACACAGGGACTCATCATGAGTCAAAATTGACTCGATCAATGGCTACAAGTAACCATTTAGCATGTTGGGGTAGGAAAGCCTGTCTAAGAGATTTCTGCCTTGCTCAGAGAGGGCTCCAGGCTTGGGCCAGGAACTGAGCCCAGTGGCAGAGCCAGAGTACTGACTCTCAAGACAGCTTGAATTTGCTGCAGGATGGACATGGCTATAAGGAGGAGCCCACTGTAAATTAACATCAAAACTGAACTTTATTTCACTCAGGAACAGAAGGATAATAATGGCATTCTTCTCTACTTAAATTCTATCCCATCTTCTTGTTGTTCCAATCAGGGCTGCTGACACAGGCCGTTGGGACTTTAGTGCCAGATGTGAAGCTTCTGCCACTGCTCAAGAGACCTCACGCTTAGCTGCTGGCTCTGCCCCTGCCTTCGGGGGTCGGCCCTTGTACTTGCAAGGCCTTAGTTGCCTCTGTAAGTAAGTAAAACTTCATTAATTTGATATTGTCGTTCAATAAAAACAATGAAGCTACTTGTTAATGAGGCAAAGCTTTTTCCTGTTGTTACTGGTTCTTTATTTAAAAGTACAGATAATAATTGAAATGGCATAAAACATAGAGACTTCAAATAAAATTGAAGTAACTGTGACATATATCCAAAGGCAAATGCAGCTGTTTAAACCCATGTCTTCTTTCTCTAGCCACAACTACAGAAAGGGCTATCAAATATATACTTCCAGTGTATCACAGCACAATGGAAGCAATCATATTATTCTCTTTTGCAAAAGTCAATGGTCTTCAATGTGGCAGCAAAAAGGCAATTCAATTATAGAGTGAGGCTAGAGTGGAGCTGTTTTACAAAATTACTGAATAATGTTTGCATCCCCTCCCATGATGTTATCTTGGCAACAGTAAAAAAGATTCCTTAGCAAGTTTTATGTTATGTTCTCTGCTTTCCTTCTTTTATCACTAAGCCCCAATTTTCTTAAATCTAAAGATGACTCAATCTGGCCCTGGCAACTACAAGCAAATCATTCCTATTTGAAAGTTCTGTTGAAGGAGTAATTAATGAGTAAACAGAACTTATTGACTTATGAGAAACATCCAGAAAAGAAAATATCAGAACAGTTTTGTCAAATGAGAGTGACTATTTGAAATCAGTAGCCCATTTAGGAAACTGAAAGTTAATTAATTTACTACTTTCTTCTTTATTTTCTCTTCTCTCTTTCTTGCTATCCCTCTTTGATGTATGAAAATTTTTGTTTTTTCCCTTTCAATAAGTAGTTCTTTACTCCCCTTATTTTCATGTGTTTTCAGGGATCAGGGACTGGTTATTCAAAATGTGAAGAATATATGAAAATGGATGATGTAGGTTTTAAGGTACACATTTGGTATCAAAAAATAACAGTAGGCCATGAGACAAATTAGTTGATCCATTTTCTGTGCTAGCATAGAAACCTTGTGAGGAAGACTCAGAATGTATTTAGAATTCTGCACCCAGTTTTATATAGTCCATAGAGACTGACAGACTTCATTGGGAAGTCTCACCACTTCACTGTGGGCTGTGTGACATTTAATGGTATATTTTAAAAGGATATTTGTGTCTGGACATGGGGAGAAGGGATGATAAAGGGTTAAGAAAATACTCATGGTTTCATAAGTTAAAAAAGAGCATCAGAGAGATCAAAATCATGAAATTCTTTCACTTCAACGGTTGGATTCATCCGGTTAACTGGCTTCCAGGGGCGTCCAGGACACTTGGGGGAGGTTGTTTCTGGAAAATCAGATACCTGGATTTTAAATGGAAGGCTACTGGGTTCTAGCTGGACATTTGGGATCCAGTCATCATCATTCTCTGCAAGAGTTGGTGATGTATTAGGCATCACAGTTGCAAAGAGATCTGAGTCCTGAAAGCCAGAAAAGGTAACTGCTACACGTGGCTGACCTAGGGAAGGGATGGGTGTTGGAACTTCTGTCGTCTCTTGTGTCTGTGCAGAAGATGTTGGACTGTCTTCAGAAGAGCTTGCCAAACACTCTGTTCTCCAACCATTGTGCTTTCCATTGTGTTTGCCTTTACTTTTATGTTTTCCAAGGCCATGTCCATGCTCATGTCTATGTCCATGGGCTAGGCGACGTCCCTTCTGATGGCCATGCCCCCTTTGGTGTTCAAGACCATAATCAAGTTCCCGATGATGTCCATGACCAAGGCCATGTTGATGTTGGTGTCCATGGCCAAAGCCATGTCCCCTGTGATGCCCATGGCCTTGGTCATGCTCATGTTTACTGCCATGGGCAACGCCATGCTTTATTTGCTTTGCATGACCCCAGTCACACCCACAAGTGGGTCCTTGTTCTTTTCCTGGATCCCGCATTTCATCTTGTACAGGTGCCATGGAAGTGTGAGGTGGACTTACAGTTGTTATTTCTCCTGTTTCCTCTTCTTTCAATGATCGGAAAGGTGAAAACCCTGGAGGCCTTTTCCTCAATGAGTCCTAACAGGAAATATTAAGATGAATTCATTACAGTGAAAACCACACTATCAATGAAGAGGGAAGTGACTGAATGAGATCTGACAATGCTATCTTGGTTTGCAATGGAACAGGTTTTTGCTACGTTTTAATATTATATTAATATTCCAGGAAGGATGGAAATAAACAATATGCATTCCTCACCTGATTAATTTTTAAATTTGGAGACATTGATTATTGTTTTTAATAATACTCTACAATAATCTGAAGAGATTTTTTTCTTCATCTGGGAAAAACCCAAACAAAACAGAATAGGTAGTTGAACTACAAAATTTCTAGGTTACCTTCTTACAGCCTGTGGTTTTGTAAGTCCATGGCACACTGTTTATTAGCTGACTCATACTACTTGTAACAAAAAAGGCCCTGAGAAATTTTACAGACAGGGTGTCTATAGCCACAATGAATTGGTTGATCTTAAGCACATTAAAGCATGTTCACAAGCTTGAAATGCAGTCTTTGTATACAATTTGTGTTAGACTATAAGATTATACATATACTGTTGTTTGTTGTTAAGGGCCACCAAGTCATTTCTGACCCATAGTGACCCTGTGTAGGGTTTCCAAGGAGCAGCTGGTGAGCTTGAACCGCTGACCTTGTGGTTCACACTGACTTTGCAATTCAGCGCATTAGCCCATAGTGCCACGTCAAGACTCCATAAATATATATGGAGTCTTCCTCTGTACCAGACACTGTACTAAGGGATTCACACATATTAGTCATCATTATAACTTTTTGAGATGGATGCTATTATTCTATTTTACACCTAACAAAAATGAAGCTCATGTAATTTGTTCAGGGTTTCATGGCCAATATAAGTAATGGAGCTCAATTCAAATCTAGATCATATCAGAGTCCATTGTCTTCTACCGTAATGCTGATCATTAGCAGAGTCTGGCCTCCTGGACCCGACTGCTCCAAGCATAACATTTCACTAATAGTAAAAATACAAGTAGAAATAATTCACAGGTCCACATCCTTTAATGCAGTTTGCCTCTTCTTTTTTTCTCATGAATGTAATATATATATATATATTACACATGGCAAAATCAGTACAGAAATAGGATATTTCTTCCCACTTTTAAAAGATAGTTGACCCCAATTCCTTTCATAAAAGGTTAATTTACAACCCCAAAATACAATTTTCAGAATGAGCAAAATCAAACCCCAATAGACAGTAATAAGAATCATACCGTTACCAGTGATTGGCAGTGGACAGTTGTGTCAGCTTTGTTCTCCCAAGGTACCACATAAACTTCAGCATTACATTCTAGAACTTTCTATCCAAGAAAATGGAAGCCGAAAGAGAAAATAATGTTGTCTATGAGGTACTTAAACCAATGATTCTTTAAAATCGAGTTCTAAGGAACAAGACAGTTTCATTAGTACTCACTCCAGTTTCCTTGGTTGGACAACTATGAGTCAACTCTTCATTACTTCCCTTGGAACATGTCGTTTCACTGGCTATGAACTCAATAGAGTATTTGGTTCCAGCCACCACCTGGAAGATTAATTAGCACACAATTGGTGCTTAATATTGATATAATAAAAAATGGTATCTTTTTTTTAGTACATGATTTTTAAGTAGGAATTTGACTACATGAAAGTTATATGAAAAAAGTATAAATGTTTGACAATAACATTTCCAAGTTGTATACATGTCTAAACTCTCTGGCTGATTTTGGATCTCATTTTGTTCCCTAAATGTGATAATATTAAGGAAAAAATAAAAGCAGGTGATAATTTTAATTTAATTTTTTTTTTTTTTTTAGTTTTATTGTTCAACAACTGAAGAATTCACTAAATATTTCAAGGTCTCAAGTTGCAATGTAATCAACCTAAGAGAAGCAAGAAGAAGTAAACATTTTCTTTAAACATGCTTTGTCCTGCCAAATCTCCAGTCAGTCTTGTGAGTGAAATTATATGGGGTAAATAATATAATGAGGAAAATCATTTGGGTTTTCTAGCTTCTCTTTATTTTATTTTAATTTTTTTGTATTAAAAACTTTTAATCTCTAGTAACAATTATAATCATTATACATTGTTATCTTTCATAAATAATCGTGACTCAATTTCTCAACCAAATTATTCATTACTTAGTTCTAAGATTTATAGTTATATGTGTAGGTCTGGTTGTTGTTGTTGTTAGGTGCCATTGAGTCGTCACCGACCCATGGCCACCCTAGGCACAACAGAACAAAACACTGCCCAGTCCTGGGCCAACCTCACAATTGTTACCACGTTTGAGACCATTGATACTGCCACTTTGCCAATCCATCTTGCTAGGTAGGGTCATCCTATTTTTCTCTGACCCTTCACCTTACCAAACACAATATCCTCTAGAGACAGGTCGCTCCTGACAATATGTCTGAAGTATGAGAGACGAAGTTTGGCCATCTAAGGAGTTTGGCCATCCTGTCCTCTAAGGCGATAGGGGTTTTATGCAACTATTTATTTAAAATAATGCAAGAGATTTATGTTTATTGACCTGGAGGGATGGTCATTATTGAAAAAGGGAAATTGCAGGGTAATAAGGTTATTTTAATTTTATAAAAGGAAACTATAGTCTTCTTTATCTCATATGTTATTAATGGGATGGAAAATGGTGTGGTAAGAGGTGGGTGGGAGAAAAAAAAATGAGTCATAGGAAGAACTAAATTCCTTCTCTACCTGCTTTGGTACTGTTTTGTTGGATGGTTAAAGTATGGTTAAATTTTTAAGTAAAATTTAAGAAATACCATTTTAAAATTCACATGTATGTGGAAGTTGGGGAGGAAGGCTCCAAAAGTGTTTTTAAATCTCTGTGAGGGGACCTCAAAAAGTTTGGGGAAATTTTCCATTATCCCTAAGTCCATTTTTCCATGAACTTTTTAAGCCCCCTGTATGTTGGTGATCATAAACCTGTCTTGCTCATTTCAGAGAACACCTTAATCCAATCTTTCTTTCTGACATTAAAGTTGATCAATATACTGTTTCTTAAGAAAGTTGACAACATCTGAAAGCATCATAGCTAATGCCCAACCTCTATTCACTGTCCAAAAAAAGAGAAGTAAACCCAATAATACCTTCCATTTGGTGGCCTCAACCTGGCATCCACACCATCATCATCATCAAGACTCATTTTTACCAGAAGTCTTCTGGGTTAAACTCAACTTAACCTTGTCCAAGTTTTAGTTTTAAAGTAGAAAATATAATCACTGTTGTTGCTGTTAACGTGCTGTCGAGTCGATTCTGACTCATAGTGGCCGGGTTTGGCAGGGGCAGTGAATGTCTTGCTCGCTGGTGATAAAGTTGTTGTTTAGTGCCATCGAGTGGCTTCCGACTCATAGCGACCTTGTTTAGGGTTTCTGAGGGGTGTTTGGTGAGTTTGAACTGCCAACCTTGAAGTTCAAACTGATTTTCAGGTCGAGTGCTTATCCTAGGGAGCCACACAATGACACATTTGGTCTGGCCCTGCCAAGGCAACCGTAGTTCCAGCCATCAAATTGTTATTGTTATTAAGTGCTGTCCAGTTGGTGTTGACTCATAGAGACTCATATAGGGTTTCCAAGGAGAAGCTGTGATTTTGAACCACTGACCTTGTGGTTCAAGCCAACCTTGCAGTCCAACACATTAACCCACAGCACCACACCAGAACTCCATCACATTGTTGTTGTTAAGTGCCGTTGAGTCGATTCTGACCCATAGCAACCCTGTATATGGTTTCTGAGGAGCAGCTGGTAAGCTTGAACCACCGACCTTGCAATTCAAACAGCTTTGCAGTCTGGCGCATTAACCCACAGCGCCACACCAGGACATTAGGGGTGAGTTAATTAAATGTTTGGTCAACTATAGCAGGCTAATTTTCAAGTTGATAATTTTATATAGCCCACAAATGATGTTAAAAATATCCAAATGATCCTTGGCAGATTAAAAGTTTCCCCACCCTTGCTGCTTAGGATTTCCAAAGAGCGGTTGGTAGATTCAAAGGGCCAACCTTGCTGTTAGCAATCGAATGCTTATCCTACAGCTCCACACCAACTGACTTTACAGTGCAGTGCTTATCAATTACATCGCCACACCAGGACTCCCTTCTAGGACTTACTTTGTCTAAAAAAACAAAAACAAAAAACAATTCCTGACTGTGTACACAGATCCTTGACATTATCCACCAGAGCCAAGTCAGGGCAGCAATAGACAGCAAAGGCGACAGAAAAGAAGGCAAAGGGCAAGACAAAGGTAACTGCATATTAACACAATTGCAGTCATTTGCATGTGAAAATGGGAGATTTATGCATCTGAAATGTGAAACCAATTTGTTATGGATAGTCTTCCAAATGAGATTGGCAAAGCCAACAATACCAACACAATAAAATCAATTTTCAGCAATTCAGCAAATGGGGCATTTGGAAATTGGGCTTGTCCTTTGGTAAGTTGATTTCCAGTAAATTGGCTGCTTTTGCCAATATTGTTTCGAGAGACTTTGTCTGAGAAGCCAAAGTTCTCTCTTAAAATCCTAAATTCAGTAAAGATTCATCTTTTAAATTTATGTTTGAAATTCTGCCAATATTTCAGAATGATTTAGCAACTGAAAGACTATCAATTCCCTTCAATTCACAACACTACCTATGGGTGCTTCCTTGGCATCCTTCCCTTACTTGTATAACCAAGTGTACAAGCACGTTGATTAGTTCATTTACAGGGAGTACTGTGACTGCTAAGAGAAATACTCATGGTTGAGAATGAATGGTTCTCTCTACAACAGCAGCCTCTGCCTTGCGATACAGGGAGGAGTTCTGGGCTATTTCTACTTTATCTAGCCCCCTAGTGTGGTGCTATAAGGAGCTCTGGTAGCGTAGTGGTTACGAATCGGGCTGTGAACCATAAGGTCAGCGGTTCAAAACTACCAGCCGCTCCGCGGGAGAAAGATAAGGCTTTCTACTCCCGTAAAGATTTACACCCTTGGAAACCCTGTTACAGGGTCGCTATGGGTCGGAACCGACTCGATGGCACTTAACAACAACAACAACAAGTGTAGTGCTATGGAGTGAGTCCTGGTGTGGTACTGTGGGATAAAACACTAGACAGCACAGTTGGTACAAAAATTTTTAGGAAGTTTAAAAAAATTCCATAAGATGATAAAGATCATGTTGGCTTGCTATTTGGAATGCTGTTCTTGTATGTGGGGAAGTAAATTTTAAAGCTCTAGAATAGGAGGCTGCCTTTGAATACATGGATTATAGACTAGGGATTTGGGTTCTTGTACTATGGCCACTCATTTTGCAGCTGGAATCACAAAGGCTGAATTTGAATCACTTCCTGGGGTCACCCAAAAGTAAGTGATCGCTGCTATAGTAGAACTGGGTTCTCTGAGCCTTAGATCAGGTAAGTAGTTATTCTCTATTGATATGGTGTAGAAATAAAGATAAATTTGTAGAAGGCACTTTGTGGCAAAGAATTAACCTTGCCCAGAGAGAGTCTGACCTTTGTCTTGGGGTGGTGGTGCTATACCATGGAGTCTGTTCTGATTCATAGCGACCCTGCATAGGGTGTCTGAGACTGTAAATCTTTATGGGAATAGAAAACCTCATCTTTGAGGTTAGCAGCCCAACTTGTAACCAACTTTTAACCACTAAGCTACTAGGAGGTAATCAATACTTGCTTGGAATGTCCTGACCAATAGCAGTGTGTTTATTTAGCTGGAGGCTTTGAGCCACACTGAATAACAATAGTACTGATTTACAGTGGAGGCTTTAGGTCAGCTTGACCAAGGTCAGCTTGACCACACAGACAGTCAGCTATGTCAAAGTGATGGAGTCCTATCATAATTGAATTATGTCCCCTCAAAATACATGTCAGCTTGGCTTGGACATGATTCTAGGTGGTTTGGTAGTTACGTGATGATCCTTCATGAAGTGGTTTGATCTGATAAATCAATAACAGGATTAAAGGTGGGATGTTGTTGTTGCTATAAAGTGCTGTTCAACCTGACCTTGAGGTTAAGTGCTTATCCTACAGTGCCACACCAGGATAAGTCACTTACAGAGTCATAGTGACCCTGCATAGGGATTCCTATGGTCCAGTGCTTTATCCCAGTGTGTCATTTCAGGCCTCCTAAGGGTGGGATATTGTTAAGTGCCGTCGAGTTGGTTCTGACTCATAGCGACCCTGTATAGTGTTTCTGAGGGGCACCTGGTGAATTTGAACCACTGACCTTGCGGTTTAAACCAACCTTGCGGGCGAGTGTTTATCCTATGTCATTACAGCAGGGCAAAAGGAAAGACAAGCCTATTGCCACACAATATGCGTGGACTATTGGCAGCCAGGGAAGCTTGCCTAAGACTTGGTGCCACACAAAGTATCTCTATGAGGTGGAACCAACTCGATGGCACTAAACAACAACAATCACCACACAGTGTTGCTGGGAGTTCAATGCTATCAGTGACTTCACTAGGAAGTGTCAACTGGAAGCTCACTTGGACCCATAAGTCTCTGAATTATCCTTTTACTATAATAAACTATTACCATGAGTATGACAGCTTTCAGTGAGTTCTGTACTTTTAACAAATTATTAAGCATAACATTTCAGGGGCTTCTTGGAACCCCCTGAGCTTATAGGAACATTTAAAGGCGGGGAGGGCACCCAAGCAGAAGAAACAGTGGGAGAAATGATATGGGGGTAAGAAAATATGAAGAGAGTCAGGTTCAATGATAGACTAATTAGAGTGGTTCAGCCCAAGATGTATGGAGTCCTGGTGTGACACAATAGAATGAGCACTGAAGCACAAGGCCGGTTTGAGTTGCAAGTTCAGAGGTTCAAATCCACCAGCCCCTCCTCAGAAACCCAATTCAAGGGCACTAAAACAGCAACAACAACAACTAAAGGTATTAGGGGATAATATAATAAGAAATAAGTCTGAAACAGCAAAGACTGAATCTTGCTTTACCTAACTCTGAATTATACTAAGTAGAAGTCCTGGTATGGAACTATAAGATACATTGTTGTTGCTAATTACCACTGAGTTGGCTCCGGCTTATAGTGATCCTGTATAGGGTTTCTGAGGAGTGACTGGTGAGCTTGAACCACTGACCTTGCGGTTTAAACGACTTTGCAGTCCAACGCATTAACCCACAGAGCCATAGTAGACTGCTAACCATAAGGTTGAGGGGTGTGTGAGGTAGGGTCAAACCTTCCAGTTGCTCCTCAGAAATCCTATACAGGGTTGTTAGGAGCCAGAACTGACTCAATAGCACTTAACAACAGTATGTAATAGCTGTTAGCGTTTAAAAAGCAAAAATGTCACTAAATTGTGCTTGACCCAAGCCATGGCATTTTTAATCACCTCATGTGATATGACAGCTGGACAATAAGGAAGAATGAAGAACGATTGATATCTTTAAATTATGGTATTGGTGAAGAATATTAGATATTATACCATGGACTACCAGAAGAATGAACAAATTTGTCTCAGGAGAAATATAGGCAGAATGGTCCTTCTTGTTGTTAAGTGCCGTCAAGTCAGTTCTGACTCACAGTGACCCAGGGAGCAGTTGGTAGGTTTGAACTGCCAAACTTATGGTTCACAGTCCAGTATTGATCCTACAGTGCCACACCAGGAGTCCAAAATGCTCCTTGGAAGCAAGGGTAGTGAGACTTCTTATCACCAACTTTGGATATGTTATTAGGAGGGACCAGTTCCTGGAGAAGGACATGATGCTTGGTAAAGTAGAGGGTCAGAGAAAAAGAGGAAGACCCCCATGAAATGGATTCATACAGTGGTTACAACCAAGGGCTCAGACATAACAACAATTGTGAGGATGGCATAGGACTGGGCAGTGTTTTGTTCTGTTGTAAATGGGGTCACAGTTAGTCAGAACCAACTCAATGGCACCCAACAACAACAACAGTATTTATATAGCATCTTAGAGGTTGAAAAGGGATTTCACACACATTATCTTGTTTGTTCCTCTACAAACAGAAACTTCTGAGAATGTTTTAAATGACCTGCTTAAGATCCCATATCAAGTATGCTGTGAGGGTGGGACTTGGAATTCAATTGTGTTTTGCCTCCCCTGGTACGTCACAAACTGTATGTAACCTACAGACCTTCCAGTGAACATGTCCATCAAGACTACTCCACTAGTGACCGGAAAGGAATACGGCTTGCTGTCTATCAATATTGAGCCTAGACCCGTGGCAAACTAAGTCAGCAATTGCTCAGAACAGTATCTCTATTTAGTAATGTGATGTACACACCTGTGCTGTTGCTTTTTTCACACGCTCAATCTTGAAATAGAACATTCCGTTATGCTCCTCATTAAGCTTTGTGATGGAATGATTTAAAGCCTCCTGCAGCTCAGGGCTGTTGACACTTATCTCCCTGGGGCATCCACGGCAATTGCTGGAAGGTGGCAGTGCAAATTCAGCTGTTAAAAGATTCAGATTTGAAGTTAGTGTGTGTATTGACAGAGCAGCATAGCCTAGCACAGCTCCTGTACATACCACAGCTTCCCTGATTTTAGAGGGAAAACTAACGAGTGGGAGATGGTTGTCTGGCTGACCTCTGCCTTCCTGTTTCCTCTTTCCTCCTGTCCTCAGAGCCCAGTGGGGTTAGGAAATGGTGTTCAGGTGGAAGCTGTTAGGGACTCAGTCCTGCCACACTTCTGAGTATTTGCATTTGGGGTGGAAATGTGTACAGAGCAATGTTTAACTTAGAGGACTGACTTTCTAATATGGGGAATAGTCTAAGCCCTATGGCCCTGATGAGCAGCCAGTGTCAGGAATGCTTCTCAATGTACAACATACACGACTATCTTCCAAATAGGAGACAAGCCAATTCTTGTTATAAGAAATACTGACTTGGCCATAAACTCAAACTATCTCCTCCTGCCCCTCATTATCATATACGGGGGGTGGGATGTTTTAGTTGAAAAGATTTTATTCTGAGTGCTTGAAAATGAGGTACAGGTCTCCCAAATTATAGCTTCTGACTGAGACACATCTTCACACAGGATGGCCAGCTGGCATTGCACTCTGAGGCCAGCTTTGCCCAGAGAAAACATATTTCCCTTTGTTACCATATTCCTTTATGGTCACTCGAGGAGTACTATCGATGGACATGTTCACTGGAAGGTCTTAGGTTATATACACTTTGTGATGTACCATGGCAGGCAAAACACAATTCACATAAAAGAGACCTAGCCAGCTATCAGAGACAAGCATGTATGGGTACCTGGATAGACGTCACACTTCTGCTCAACGGAAGTAATTATTTCCTGAATATTCATGTTCACAGAATCTGTACATTGACCGGTATCCTAGTTTTTAAAAATAAGCACATGATGAAACAATGTTTTTGAGAAGCTTTAAAAACAAACAACTAGTAAGATTAAAAATATATATGTACTTTCCAAATCATTGCATAAGAGAAAAGAAAGAAAGCTTAAAAATAAAAGACAGGCAGACCTCTATAAAGTGATTATGAACCATAAAAAGATACCAGAGTGCTATTAATATTGTGTGAAGAAAAATTCAAGGTAACAAAAACATAAGACTGGTAATAATAGCTTTAATTTTTAAAAAAGATATTGTCTGTAAGGCTTGGAATCGAAATATAAAATATTAGATATATGACTGGAAATGTATAGAAAGAAATGTGATGGGAAAACTATATACAATTAGAAATCTATAATCTCCTTTCATCTTTTTTCTTTTTGATCTTTATGGATATTCAGACTAAATGGATAAAAATAATTAAGGCCAGAGGAGACTTTAACGATAAAGATTTATTTTAAAGTTTTAATAAACCCATTACTGTCAAGTCCTTTCTGACTCCTAACAACGCTACAGGACAGAGTAGAACGGCACCCATAGGATTTCCAAGGAATCCTGGTGAGGTGCTGT